GTGTCCGCATGCGTGATAACGATGCAGGTGCTGCATGTGTCCGCATGCGTGATAACGGTGCAGGTGCTGCATGTGTCCGCATGCGTGATAACGGTGCAGGTGCTGCATGTGTCCGCATGCGTGCTCAGCCAGCTCACCTGTCCTGCAGGATAGGCCTCTGCCATGCCTCAATGCTCCTCTCCCAGTCCCTGTAGTGCGTGAGCGCATGGTGACACAATGTGGGCCCCGAATCGCCCTCAGCGCCAAAGAACCGTGTGTACCTCCTGCAAAACACACGCATACACACAGTGACATCAGCACCAGGCACTAGAGCCTTGGACAGAAACTGCTGCCCCTTAAGGATACCCATGGGGAGACAATGTCGTATGCTGGAGTTTGCATTAAGTATCTCCCCAGCACGTCCCCCTGTGCTTTCACTGTGTAAGAGCAGAGGACACCCATCCATGCCAGAGTACGAACACTGATTTTCCACCGTTAGCAGGAATGCAGACCAACCCCTTGTTTTCCCTTCACAATCAGGGAGTTGGACCACATCGTTAGGTGGTGACAAAGACAGATTCACTGAAATGGTCTGCCACCAAGGGACCTCCCAGTGTAAACACGAGAGCCCCTGAATACATTGCAATGCACAAAATTCACGCGTTTACAGGCAAACTGGGTCATCGAACCAGACTCAATTCAAACAAATATTACTTTGCAGTTACAAAGTGGCACTAAATTGACTAGAGATCAGCAGACGTAAAACACTTAATTAGGACCCAAACATATATTCCTTATTTCCACCAACACGGAGCTGGTACTGGGCTGGTTCTCACCCAGTGCCTTTTGAGAACCTGTCCATATTTCCACCAGTTTAAAATAAAGACATAGAACAGACATGTTATGTAGGCAAAAGTGAAAGTGAAGTAAAAGTTCATAGGAATTACATTTTTGGATTTATTTTGATCTGTTTCAGATTTTAAGTTTCTATAACTGCCAAACTGAAAAATATTAGTTTACGTCTGTTTTCAGAGTTGGACTTGTTGAGCTTGTCTCTATTGCCAGTATCCACTTTTGTCTCCTTAAAGACTGTATGTCACTGTCTGTGTGTGGGAGTTTATTTTCGCTCACAGTTTTACCGCTGTCCTTTTAAGGACCGCACAATAAAATGAGTCTGCTAAAAACTGAACTTTGCCGTCTGCCTCATGATCTGTTCGCCACTTGAGTGCTACAAAAACTAATTTGACCTGTAACATGTTTATTCTTTATTATTAAATCTAGCCAGAAAATCGATCTTTCATTTTCCACAGAATAAAAAAATGATGTAACGTTATTCCACTAATAAGCTGGCAAACCAATACTGGTTATAGCTTGAATTTTCCAGCTATGCAGAAGGCTTGGATGTGATAGCCTGTCCCACTTTTGCTGACATTACGGTCCCAGATAAGACCAGCTTTTCTGCCACGCTGGAGTCATTTTTCTGGCACAGGGCCAGTTTTTTGCGTTGGAAAAGCACAGAACCAGTTCCAGATTGGGGAAAAGTCAAGTACTGGCTCCAGCATCATGTTGGTGGAAACGAGGTAATGGAGATTTCCCAGAGACCCAGATGATGGTGGTCTCCAGTCCTGGTGACTCCTAGTGGACCATCAAGCAAAAGATACATTCTGGAAAACAGTAAGTTCCGTTGGAACCACCTGCTTGTAAATCAACTGACCTCCTACCAGTTCTACACTGATTCCCAGCTGCTTAGGCACCAGAAAACATGGTTGGGGTTTGGCAGCTGGACACCTGATTCTGATGAATGACTTTCTCAGCATCACATGGGTGATAAAACCCCCATCCAGCCCAGAGGATAAAACAGGAACACGTGGGATGAGGACGGTCGATGCCCCATACCTGACGTGCTGCCTCTCGCGGGAGCCGAAGGTGATTTTGGGCATGTCCCACGCCAGGCAGAACTCCAGGGTACCGTGGCCCAGTGCCGAGACGCTGCAGCCGGCCACCAGAGCCGCCGCCACCTTCTCCCCCTTCTGGGTGGGGGGGCTAGGACCTGGAGACAGCATTTCCCATTATGAGTGCAGTCTGTGTGGTCTTACGGGGTCTTAGTGAACATTCTATATACTATATACAAAGTGAAGCCTTATCTTTCATTTAAATACTTCTTAAAAGTGATTCATGCCTTATATACATTGCAAATTGACTATTGCAACTCTCTGTTTGTGGGCATGGATCAATCATCCATTCACTGCTTGCAGCTAGTCCAAACCGCCGTCATGTGTCTAGACGGGAAAGAAAAGGTGAGACCCTATGTCACCAGTGGCCTGAACTACGAAGCGGGGTTACTGGCTTATCGGGGCAACTTGGCAGATTTAAGGTAGTCTGGGCAAAATGTAAGGGAGCGAATATTTAGTCCATTTAAACTGTGGTACCTTAAATCCAACAAGTTACCGCAATAAGCCAGTAACCCCACTTCATAGTACAGGCCACAGTTTTGGTCTGACTCCACTGGCTTCCCGTCCATTTCAGGGTTGATTTTAAATTACTACCGTTTGCTTTAAAAGCTTTAAATGGTCTTGTACCAACATATCTGGCAGAAATTCTGCACCTCCATACCCCGATTAGAAATCTTAGGTCTTCCAGACTGATGGTTCTAGATGTTTCTAGATCTACGTATAAGAGCAGAGGTGATCATGCTTTTGCGATGGTGGCTCCTACCCTTTGGAACAGGTTGATGTTACATATCAAAACTGCCCAATCAGTAGAAACTTTCAAATCCCTGCAGAAGTCTCATCTATTTATATTGCCGGAGCATGATATCTTGGACTTTCCAAAAGGAAAATGTAATTATATATCAACTTTGGTCGTTTAACATGTCCTTTAGAAATAAACTTGTCCTTTTTTGTTGGACAGATTTGCCGGGTTTTATTTAATTATAAAATAAACATACAATCTACAAGTAGAATATGCATTCACATATCTTAAGTTACGGCTCAATCACCACAGGCATGCCGACAGACCTGCTTTATAGGCTTATGGTGAAGGTACCATGTCAGAGTGACCTGCGTTTCCTGCCCACCTGCGTCATTCTCACTTTTTTATTCTCACTTCATTTTTAACGATGAAATACAGTGTTTAGACCTATTAAAATTGTCATTGATGCTCTGATTTATTGATTTTCTTTTAAAAAAAAAAAAAAAAAAAAAAAAACTGTTCCCCCCAAAAAGGTAGCCAAATATCGTCACCAAAACTAGATAAAATGTTTTTAAATCTTTCAACCTAACTGCATGTAACTCAAAATAAACAATCGATGTGTAAGTATATAAGACGTATATTTTTTGCTCAATTTGTTTTGTCAGTTTGGTAATTTCTTTCTCCGCAATTCTTGCCCTAGATTTGATTAAATACTTTTGTTTATTACAGAAATAAATGGTAATAGAGCAAAACTGATTAACGACCCTAGTAGCAAAATCGTAAGTTTAGACAATAGAGTTGCATAATTTGAGTCTGTCTTCAAAATTGCCATGTTACAGTAATGAGTTTGTGAGAATGACCCACCTGCTGGTGAATCAAGCCGTCCATCGGTGATGAGATCATTCCAGAGCTCCTCGCAGGTGCCCCGGGGGCTGAATGCAGTCTGGTGGCTTACGGTCCTGTCAGCCTGACAAACACCAACCACAAAACCAAAATCACTTGCCTGCAATTTCCATCCGTTACTCCTCATTTCAGTCCATTCCTTGCTGCTCTCACTGTCATAGTAACCTCTCAGCCATACTCGCAGCTACATTCACGCCTGCTCTGTAGGTGTCCAACCTGTTCTCGGGCTGCGATGCACAGGGTGTAGGGGTTGACAGGGGTGCGATGATGCAGCAGGACTCCGGATACAGACTCCCCCTCCTTCTTCAGGCAGAATGGTTCATTCCAGTGCCCACCGCTCTTGTCATCTTTGCAACCAGAGCCGTTTGTCATGGTGAACATGATGGAGACGTCCAGGGCATAGTCGTTCCTGTTCTCTATGTCCCATACCAGCACAGCCACGGGGAGGCTGGAGTCCTGGGGGAAGAGGACAGGTAACGGGCTAAAGTAAACGGCAACCAAGTGAAAACGGGGGACAATCTTATGCTGACTTTGTAGTAGGCCTGTCACAATAACTACATTTGTTGGACGATATATTGTCCCAGAAATAATTACAGTAAATTATATTATTGTCATTCTAAGACTAGGGCTGCTGCGATTAGTCGACGTAGTCGATTTCTAAAATGCTTCAATCCATTAACAAATGTTTTCCTTTAATATTACTACCTAATTATAGGAGCAGTTCATATTATGACAAAACAAAAAGGTGGTTTTACACTGTGCAAAGTTCGATGGCATACTACAGGGGCACTAGTGCTATGCACAAGCACTTGAAGAGGAAACATCCTGGTGCTATTCTGGACCACAATAAGCAAAACCATAGTAAGTGTTGTCCATTCACGTTTATTAAATTACTGCTAATATGGAAAGCTTAATATCTCTTGTTTTTGGTAGCTGCTAAATACACTCATTATTAAAGCCATAAAGTTGTCCTCCTGCTCCCTTAGAATCTCCATTGAATAAGTGTTTGAGAAAATGTTTAGGCTAAAATCTGGGCTTATTCTACGTGGATTGACAGTGCCACTGTGCGTTTGTATGCATTGGGCTTATTGGGAGTTGGGACCAGCGTTATTATCATAAACTAAAACCGAAACGAAAACGGACACCAAATAAAAGAAAATAATTTTTGAACTGAAGTAAAACTATTTACCAAAAAAAAAGTGTCAGACATTAATCAGCGAAAAGCAGCACCACACCACCAACATTTACCCTGTTTATCCACAATATCTCC